TTGGATAGCATTTTCCAGATATCCAGTGGGCAGTGACTTTAGTTTATGGCAAATTAAATCCGCCACATCGTAGTGTCTGTAAGTAGACATTTGTGGCTTTTTATAAGGAGAACGCTTGCCATGCGAAAACCTCCCACTTCCTGAAACACCGCCGCCGAACTATTTGCTGGAAACTATTCCAAGCAAATAAAGCCGCTCCGTTACTGCCTTCAAGGGGGCTCAAGTTAGAATGTGTTACCCATACAAGTATTAGTTCGATCACTATCACCTTCAAGTTACTTGCTTCTGTCATTCGTCCCAGAATGCCTAACAGACATGAAATCTAGATTCATGGAAAACAAATCGGGTTCCTTCGAAATCGCTGTCTCATGTACAGTATGTTCACGTTTAAATTTAATGTTCGAGGATTGTCATTTGGCGATCCATCATAGTCGTGCTCCCGTACATCAAATTTACTTTACATTCGGTGAAGTGACGTGCTCTTTAAGCATGCTGATCTAGAAATTGTTGCCCAAGAATTCCCGGAACATTATCATAGCGCTGCATGAGTGGAGGTAGGGCAGCGTAAGGGCTCATGGCAAACTGTCGCCACCATACAACATGAAGAGAATTGCGCGAAAAAAATGCCCGCTGTCATCTATCTTTTCTAACTTCATCACTGACAAAATCATGGAAACTGCGTTCATTAGGCACAGGTTGGAATGTGTGGAGCTGCATACAGATGATCGATTTCTTGACTTCTATTCTGTGACAGTTCATGACAGTTCCAGGCAACACTGGGTAGATTAACACTGTCTGCCAGCTGTTTGGCGCTTTGCTTTGCACCATTGATATGAAAACTTACCTCCAAGATGTGCAGGGATAACCGCATGTGTTAATCCTTGGTGGACAATGTGCCATGAACAAATGCTTGACACGTCCCGTAGGATGGTTGAGGTGATTACAATGAAGTTGAAATATATGTGAATCATCTATGGAGATAAATACGCTGAAAAATAATGTCAGTGTAAAATAATAATAAAATATGAGCATACAGAAATACTCCGAGTAGAGTGACCGTTAATGTAAAGCGTGAGAAAAGTAAAATATGGCCGTTCAATTATGCGCCGCCTTCCTTGGTCCATATGACATATAAATCTTGTGGAAGGGCATGAATGGGGTAGTCCGAAATGGCGTAATTTAGGTAACAAAGTGTTGAGAGCTACATGAAACATACAACCATTTTTTGAAAATGTCCAACGGTGAGGAGGATAACACTGAGTCTGGGAGTGCATTCAAGACTTGGCAAACGCGAGGGGAAAATTAATTATGTCGACACTTTAGATGGCTATATTTTTCATTCAATTTCTAGCAGTTGCCCCTGAGCTGCGTGTTGTGGCTAAGTTTCAGCAAATGGCGGCATACGTGGTTAGGGTCACTCAATATCTGATACGCTAATATGAGATCGCCGCGCAACCTTCGATAGCGTCCGTTGAAAATTCCCAGCAATTTCCGGCTTCGGTGGCAAAATTGGTAGCGCAGGCAATTTACATTCTTTGTTGTGCTTCGTTGTGGTGCCTCTAATGCCTCTAGGTCGCGCTTCAACCCAGGTTGCCAAGCCTGGATAGCTTCTTCAACATGCGGGCGCAAGTTGGAATTGTGCATCATTGGGAAGATTGATGGGTCAAGTCTCCCGAATGCCATAGGCAGAAGGTTGATGTGCTGGTTGCCTCTTTTCGCAGCTACCTCAGCCTGTTTTGAACAGTTGAGGTCGCTCTGTGTGAACACTCCAAGGTCACATTCATAGGAGTTGGTCTGCAATCCGCGTGCCCCAAGCAATTAGGTGTAGTCATGTCTATGGCTTAGTTACACAGCGAGACATTTGTACACGTTGAATGGTAGGGCGTTATGAACTGATCAGGTTAGCACCGTGTTAAAATCATACTGGAGCCGTTCGTGGTCGTCCGGTCCTCTGATCCTTCCCCATATCTTGATAGCATCTGTGAAAAAGAGGAAATCGGAAACAATCGATCTCGCCAAATCGTCAGTGAACATCAAGAATAGACGACGTCCAAGCACCGAGCCTTGTGGTACACCACAGTCCACATCAATTGCATCGGACAGAGATTCTCGGACTCTCAACTAGCGGTCGTTCATACATAAAATTGTTAATCTAACTCAGAAATGGGTTAACTGGGCCACAGTTCCGAAGCTTGTGGAGAACTCTATCGTCTAAACGATTAGAGCCTTTTGAGAATTCTAGCTAAATGCCATCGTCTCTTGCTCCATAATCAACAGCTTCAGTCCAGCTATTACGTGCAATTCCTATGTTAGTATTACATGAACGCTTTTGACGAAAGCTATGTTGCTTTGGAGTTATTAAGTCGTGGCTTTCCAGATACTGCATCAGCGCATCTGCGATGATTTATTCTATAACTTTGAATACAATGAATAACAATGAACAATAGTATATTACAGGTAAAAAAGCGATTGCTTTACAAGTCCCGTAGGACGGTTGAAGTGAAAGTAAACATAAGTGTAAATCGTCAATTTAGGCCTCTAGCGATTCAGGTGCCCCTTATTCACATAACCAACTTAGAACGTGTACTGAATTGTTACTGTGGAGTAATATGGGAAGTAATATGAGAAAGGTATGTCGCAAGAACAAAAGAATCGACAACGCCTACTCGTGCGCCTCATTCTAGGACTGAGGTACTTGATGAATGCAGTTGTAATGCATCCGAAACTATATTCCACAACAACAGTGTGTAAGTAGTAAAGCACAAAAGCTGGGAATGAGCGCCGTTTTTTGCGCGTTTGTTTGACGTGGACATCCTTGATTATATAGCGTAATGTAGGTGGATAAGCGAATCATCCAGACGTCTTTTGAATACCGTTAGCGTGGCGGAAGCAACAACATATGTGGGAAGAGCGTTCCAGTGTTAACACATACGAAGGGAAAAGAAATTCCAACCAGCTGTATTGTGTGGCCAGCTTTAGATGGTGTCCTCTGAGTGGGGTATTGGTATTCAGCTTTAGTAGGTGACGACAAGAATGGTTTGGATTCCTCAGGATCATTTAAGTCATTATCAATTCGCCACGTAGGCGTCGATATTGTCCACTGTAGACCCCGAGGGATTCGGCCTCAATCGGTAAGGGAGATGAAACAGGCCCTTTACATTCTTGGTCGCACTTCGTTGTGGCAGTTCAATAGCGGTAAGGTGTTGCTTTTGACATGGCTGCCAGGCTTGGATGGCGTACTCAGAATGAGGCCAAGAAGTAGCGTTATTGTACGATAATTAGTAGGGTCAGTGCGCCTACCTTCCATATGAATAGGAGTGATGACCCTTTGTTTCCGTACTGGGGGAATATGTTTCTGCTCTAGACATTGCTGATAGAAAACGGCCAGTGGTTCTGCTAAATCCCTAGCTACCGCCTGCAGAGTCTTCAATTTAATGTTGATGACTCCAGGAGAACTGTGGATACCTAAGTATAACAACTACTTTAACACAGCTTCTGCAGTGAAAATGTTATTGTCTAAACCAGACGGTGGAGTAATAGAAAGGAGGAGAATATTTGACCGTTATCTGCTAGAAAGTTTGGGAGTAATGAAGCCGTAGGAGATCGGTTGCTTCTATCACTGACCGAGTGCATCCATCAGCCGTGACTAGTGCTGGAATCCCGCGCTTCACCTTACGAATGCCTTTACCGTGCCTGTACAGAAGTTTGCGGTTCATGCAAAATCGGTTCATTAACTCCCGCTGATTTCTTGTCCTCGTGGATCCAGTTCACACAGGATTTACGATGTGCTACGCATAAAGTCCAGATTTTGGCAGTCGGGCAGTCATCGTGAGCTCATCATGCCAACTCCCTGAGGGAAATACATTTCTGCGTTCTACTCTACAGAAATGACTTATATTTGCTTTTACGTTGGAAAAACTTCTGTTCCGCTGCGTGCGCTACCAGTGCGCTAAAGATCTTTGTGAACATTTTCCGACCAACGTCTAGAGGGCATTCGGTTAAGGAAGTCCAAGATGTTTATAAACAGATGTAGATAACTCGTAGTGTCTGACAGTGTGTACATTGTCACCCGTCTTTTCAGGAAATTCGGCATAGAATATATAGCCAAAGAGTAGAGTAACATGGTCACTGCCACCCAGTGGCGTACTTGTAACTATCGCACTGACCCGTGAGTTCGTCGGTAGTGAACACAAGATCGAGTATCGACGGCTTGTTAGCAGCTCGAAATCTCGTGGGAGAGGTTACGAGGGTGGCTTTCAATTAGCTCTTGATGCAGGCTTTAAACTACGCACCATCGGTTGCTGGCATTTCCGTGTCGTGTTCACTAAAGTCTCCAGCGGTTAGCATGTGGCTATAGGACCCCTTCAAAGCAACCTGAAAAAGTAGTTCATTTTGGACATCTACTATAAGTCCTTCAGAAGTTCAACTACCTGGGTAGATGTAACAAGGCCTAGGAAATAAAAGAAGTGAACGATCGTAAAGCGAAACCCGTGACGCTTTGCTCAACTTCACCAGTTTAATGTCTGCGCGAAATCATCATAGCTCTGAAGGACAGAGTTTACAACACAGTCATCAATTCAAACCCTCCGTATTGCATCGCAACCAGTGTTTGAAACCTCCTAAAACCTGCTCAGTAAGAGAACGATACTTAGACGATTCATGTATTTCGCGTCGTTTCTGCTGCGCCAAAAACGGTAACTGGGAATGGAATAAAACCGCCAAATGATGCAAACTTACAAATAAAGGAAATAAAACCGGAAACTACGCCCCTGCGTTCAAGTCGACCTGAGGCTGACCGAGATTTGCTTTCGAACACAAAGCTCCGGTTCGTTTCGGAGTTTACAATAGCCTGGGCGTAGAGGAGGAGACGAGAATTGGTATGTCACAACAGAACATTGCATGACAAACTGACAGTGATCCGGTGACCTGAAATCAATAACTGCCTGTCGATCGAAGTCGCTGGCGGCCTGTGTGAGTGCGTAACTTGAGCTGCCATGCTTCTTGAGCCGTGTCATGTGTGATCCAGTTTGGTACGTGCTGTTGCATTCGGAAACTCTAACTCCCAGCAATTCTGTCTAGTTAACTAGCTCCTCAGTTACATACGAAGTGCTATACATAATGGGCGTTGGCCCCGATAGACTGAGTTCTCTTCGCTAGAGGCAGCGGCAACTTGCGGGTTCGGTCGATAAGTTTGACTTTGGCAACCCAGAAGCGCTCCATGTGATCGCGACTAGTCGTCATTATTTCACTCCCAGTTATCGTTTTCCGCACTGCAGAGACGGTGCGGAATGCATGAAGCTGCCCAGCATTGTCCTCTCACCGTGATTTTCAAATTTATTATAGAAATTAGTTGCGTTGAATATACATTAACCGAATTTTCCCACACTGCTAGACTCGTAATGATCACTGTGCACTCTTACACCCTAATGTATTGACTAACTTAACCTGAGCTCCACTATCGAGTATACTACTTACAGCCATGCGGCACTATTACCATAACCAGCTGGTTATTCACAACTTGACGCAAATCGGACATATCCACCCGACCACTCACCATGTCATGCAAGAAACGGGGATTTTTGCCACGGATTTCACAAGCACGAATGGATCAGAGCCACCTTGTTAGTTCTTTTCCTTATCTGTAATCAAAGTGCCCACGGATGACTTCACCTTACCTGTCTAACCTGAAGTGGAATTCAGCCACAGGACCAACTAGAAGCATTGGATTACATGAGGAATATCGCTGTCTCGTGGCTTGTCATTACTAACGCAAGTTCCGCCCAATTAGTTATCAGGCAATTCCACCTCACACGGTTGTGTTGAAAGACAACTTTCGTGTTTCTCTTGTGTTTGTAATGTCTGCCTACTCGAATTTCGCTTTCGCCTAATTCCCAAAGGCTGCCGATCGACTTATCTGGAGTCCGCCACTATATTTTGAAGGCCACTGCAAATTTTAATGTTGCGACACAGGGAGTTGTCTGTGTATAACATCTGCAATTTAGGCGTCATTTGCATGGTCAACATGCACTCGTTACGTCTGGGGACGGGTAGTCTGATTCTTTCATATCCATGGGGCTACACAATTAGTCATGCTAGCTTCTACCGTTAGGTACTGATAAAATAATTTACCTCTGCACTGGAAAACCTTTTAAACAGAAGTCATTAACCGCAGTTGGATCACTTTCTTTGTTTGTCTATCAACTAGTCATATCTCCACTTACAAACTTCACAACAGATCCACTACTTCTTCGCCTTTGCAAGGTGGTGACGTGGCACGTTTTACAGACGCTGGCCGAAAGTGTGAGTTTCGATGGTGTGTTTCATCCACCTTGCCAATCAACTCGACTCCTACAACGCCGAGGTTTAATACTGCCATCGCACTCGCCTTATGGCCGCACTTTATCTCTGCTCTCTCCTCACCAGCTGTGACCATTTCAATTCTCCACACACTTTCTTGTGCATGCGCTTTCTAGAACCAGTTCGACGAACGCTAGTCAGTGTTTCTCATCTCTTGGATCTAACTTGTGTGGATCATACTGTTACTCCCGTTCCCAGTTTTGGCACATTCTTTGCTGCGTTCTGCGTGTGAGATCACGAAACTCCTGGTCTTTGGAGAATACTTTTGTTCTCATTCCGCATCAGAAGCAGAGGACACTTGAACCACCCCGCTACCATCCCTACTGGCCGTAACATAACAAATGTACGTGACCTATGGCGTCGCTCATCCGAGACACCTAGGGACGCTCGCCAACGCCCTGCGTGCATCGTCGCATAACGCGATCGAATCAATACACGCCGCGTCCTTGTGTGGTTTTGTGCGCACCGCCGAATTCGGCAATCTGCGGAAGACAGTGTGAGGAAGAGAGGCATTGAGACAGCCATCTTTCCAGGTGGACTGACCTTGAAGCCGGAACAATCAATCCAAGGTCCAACTTCAGTGACCTGATGAGCGTGATTGCTCGATCCGCGGTATTTAAAGGTGCTTATGAAACGTGCAATAAGATGACAAAAATAGGGTTTCATGTGAAAACTACTCGACCCATTTTAATGCAAGGTGTGGGAAAATCAAACCAAGCGCGTTTAGACTGATCAGCAAGCCAGACTCATTTTGGTTCTGCGCGAAGTGGAATACTGTTCCACTAGTTAAGACCGTAATTGCACTACCCCGAATTATGATAGGCTAGCAGACGTGGTAAATAAAAGTTTGGGTTACAATAGCTCCAATAGGAACAAGGTTGGCGGAATGTCTGACACAGGCCTGTCCATCAAACTCCACTGCAAGTTAACTCCACAACCCCGGATGTTACACTAACAAAGTTGTTCCTGCAAACTCTGCAAATAATCCAAATGGCCCAAGCGTTCCCGAAAACCTCACCCGCAGCCACTTTGCAATAATATCTTGCAAATACACTTCTTCCCACCAGGCTTCGCCGAACCCCTGAAAACATGCCAAAATCAATGGCAGCTGGGTCGTTGTTGCATCAAAAAGCAGTCTAAAATCAACAGCTGCTGTTTTTTCTACCATACTCATAACTAATGTGACAAACAACGCTGTACTGACGCGTAGCAAGCCGCTCGGTCTCCCAAGCACGGTCCATACTCCCAGGAAAGATACTCCGAACAATTGGATGCCCCATCTATAACATGTAGCAAGCTTCCGGAGACAACCTCAAATTTCTTGAAGGGGAGGATGTGGATGACTTGAACTCATAGGACACCATAAGTAACCTGCTCGATATGCCGACTGAATCTTGCAACTTGGCGAGGATCACCCGCCACCCAAATTCTACGCACAATGGTAAAGCTAGGATTCCGCTTGTTGTGCTAAACTCTGTTGATGATGTGGAAGCAGTGTTGCTTTCGACTGCTCGTCTCCAGAATGGCTCCTGTTTGGTCCGTATCTTTCCAGGCGTCCCATGTGATAAGCGCAACTGAGCGAAACAGCCACAATCGCCTTTGTACACGGCATCCACAGTCTCTTGAGCGGGATGTATGCGAAGCGTATGCTCACAACCAGGAGCAATGGCCCCATATTCTTGAGACACTGCTCTTGAATGACGCTGTAGGTACTTCACTCGCGTAGATACCGAGGCCAAAAAGCTATAAAGTTTGCGGTCCAAGGATAATTAAGATGGTGCTGCAAACTAGGCAGATAGCACTTGTGCTTTTGGAACCCTGGCAGTAACTTCGGTACAGACGCCCAACCGAGCTCCAGTTCAAAACTTCGAGCGAAATGGTCGTCCGACTTAAAGCGACATCAAAGCATGTAAACGAAGTAGTGATGTTATTCGAAATTCACACCGGAAGCGGGTCTGAAGGAAGTAAGGATGTTCCGGTGCAATGTTGCAGCAGCCTCCCATGCATTGTGCAAACTGAGTTATCAGAAGGGCTAATCACAATGCCACCGAACCCAACTCCAACTGACTAGCTGCTAATAATAAAAAACCTCTAGCGGCCGACTATACAACGGTCGGCACAACCTCTCGTCATAACCACAAGTCTTTCGGGTCGCTGCTGATGTACGAAACAGTTTCCTGCGCGTACACGAACGTTCAAGGTCTCCTCAGCAAAATCGCCTAGTTTCGGTTGCACCAGACAACAAACGCTTGGGATCACATCTCTAGAACTGAGAATTGCTTGCACTCAGTAGGTACGAATAGCAAGATCGCTATTCAAGATATGTCCCAGTTCCGACACGATCGTTCCAGCAGGGGGTGGTGCTATCCTATACTATAGTAACGATTTACATTGCGAATCATTGGATGTTCCGGAGACGCGGATAACCCATTCTCGATGGTGCCGTTTGCGTCACAGACGCAATGCTAACTGCTTCGTGGCAGTCACATCGCGTTCCCACATAGTCAACTCCAGAAATGGATTCCCGCCTAATATCATCAAGAACGAAGTGCTTACTCTGAACTTACAGCTATATTTTTATTTCCGGCGATGTCAACATCCACGACTTGAAATCCTCTGCCTCACCAGTGAAACATTCAAGGACGAATTGAAGAACTTATTCAAAAGTATTCTGCTCTACTATCACATCACCTAATCTGCCAGGTACAGAACTGAAAACGAATCATCGGTACGAGACCTTGTACTTACAAATGAGGAGCTGGTAATTGACAGGCCATTTATAAACACCTTACTAGGGTTAAGTGATTATGTAAACATACTTTATAACTACGTGTGGTAGGCTGAATATCTAGAGGAACACACATTACTAACACGTACTACCACCTACTACAACATCCTGAAGGACCTAGTTGCGATGACCAACTGGAACTTTCTGAAAGGTGACTCATCTGATAGCGTCTGGCTACAGTTTGTTGGACACTTCAGTAATCCAGTCGCGAATGCTTCGGAAACTAAGAGGGTTCGCTTCACCAATCCTTTATGTTTCATCAGAAGTGGAACCCGCGAACGAATATCACTAAAGAATGCAGCTTGGCAGAGTTACTGAGCTCGTCCTTGTCCCGAAACCTGAAGGAACTAGGTGACGCAGCGCAACCATTGTATTCTGCCTGTCCTTGAGGACAAATTGACTCAGCGACAACATTTGGATTGTAAAATTTTCAAAAGTAAAAAGCATCTAAATACGCACGTTAACACCAGTTGGAGAGTGAAGCATAGTATCCTGCCACTTAACACGGCAATCGGAGGGGCACAGTGTGCTGAAGAAGCACCCAACACGCTACAGATGCGGTATGCCCCAACCTTCTAACAAGACCTCGGCCACTGTTACTTACCTACCTGCATAGCCACAAACTCAGCACTTAATAACATCGCTATTACTGCAGCATCAGTGTTGGAGAGACTGCTATCATTAGACACCTACAGTTCTCCTGGAATCGATGACATTCACCTGATGGTGTTGAATGTAGCAGAACAAACGCTGTCCGAGACATTTGCACATTTCTTCCAAATGTGCTTAGATGAAAAAACTGTACTTATCATGTAGACACATGGTATAATCACTCCGATTTTTAAACGCGTTGGTCACTCGGAACTCGGCAACTGTCGCCCAGTGGTCATCCTCCCTGTAATCTCAAAGGTGATGGTGGCAATCATCGCTGAGACTTTAGTAGGCCATCTAGAACGCCACAGCATCACAGCACTCGAGCAGAACGGTTTCCACCAAAATCGCTCATGCACTACCAATCTACTGCTTTTACGCAGTAGTTGGACAGAAGCGGCCGATAAAGGTAGAGGGACAATCGTCATTTCCCTCGACTTATCTAAAGCCGTCGACCGACTGGACAAACGCATTCTGCTTCACGGACTTGAGACATATGGTGTTGGATATCCTATCCTTGGATGTATCGGCAAGTTCCTGCAAGATCAGCAACTGCTGGTCAGAGTTGGAAGTGTGCTATCCGATCCGATTCATTCCGAAGGTCGAGTTCCCCAAGGATCAGTTCTGAGGCCGCGTCTGTTTATCTTTTTCATTAACGAGCTTGCGCGTTTGATTGCTTTCGATTTCTTACTGTTCGCTATTGGTAACTAGTTAAGTCTGTTACTTACGTTGTGCCTGAAGGAAGGCTGAAGAACCATCTCAGTGCATTTTCGGGTCATATTGTAACGAGAGAGACGCAGGGGAGCAGAGTATGTATTGCCCCAACCATGTGCAACCGACTACTTACAACCCCGTGCAGATATGGATCGTGTGTCCTTCCCACGACGCACCGTGGATGAGGATATGTCAGATGTTCCATTTCATGTGCCTAGGAGGTTGAGCTTTGGAACAATCCATCCAAGTTTTCATCCTGTATCTCCGATTCGCTTTATTCGATTCTGGCCAGTCAGGAATCGTTCGAAAGCGCGCGATTTGCTTTCCCTTGCCTGCAACACTCGGCCCACCTTCAGTCCCGTGGACTTCGCTAGCAGCATATTTGTACTACACTGCTTTCGCGACACACACTTCCGCTTTTCTGGGCCCAGGCTCGTTACCAGATGCCACTCGGGATCCGCTGTCAGGTGTATTCGCAAAGCTCGCAACGCCTTGTCTCGTCTCACCCATTGCGCCCATTGGTAATTCCCTGCTATCCCGTATTGGTTGTCATTCCTGTTCACGTGTAGTCTTTGACTTCCGCCGCCCTGAAATATCAAACATATAGCTGGGATAGATTTTATGCTTCTTAGCCAGAGGGGTTAGGATTTTGCCTCACAGCGACGGTCATAGTAGATGTGATTGCCTGGGTTTCTCACAAAACGCTCGTAAAGAAGAGCTGCACGTTTTCTATTGAAGTCTTCTTAATTGATTCAAAGTTGGTGTTTGCTGACGGTCCATATTCTGATGAACGACTAATGTGGGTTGCTTGGAGGTAAACTTTGGACTCGCTCAAGACAAAGGAATCTAATATCAGCCATGCCAATTTTACTGGCTCTTGTAATTTCATACTGCAACTACTCGGCGAAATTGTAGGAGCTGGATATGATCACAATAGTTACCAAACTTTGAGGAGCCCGCAACAGCACACACTTTTACATATTACGTTAGTTTGGCAAAATAGGCGACAACTGTGACGCTTTTCATATGATTTCGTTAAATGCTAGCGAGCTAACACCAACCGGTATACTTATACTTGCTGCGGGTAATGCACTAAAATGTAAGGATCCTGGTAACATCCCGACTTATCCAGGTTCTAACAGCTTCTACTTCTGTGTCAACAACTAAACAACCGTATTTATGATGATGTATATTCAATGTTTAAGGCTACCAATTGAAGCAGCTGGAAACACCTTTTGCAAGGTATTACCGTCATGATCGTTTGTCAGTTGACAAATGGATCTCAACATGCAGCACCCATAGAAACAAAGATTGTGTGACCGTCTGTTGTCATCTTGTAACGGCATATTGCTTTTGTGCTTGGTTTCAGAGTTCATCTTTTCATTGTCCTTAATACTCGTATGCGGTTGAGGTGGCTGGTTAGAGTAAAGCTTTTGTTCGCTGTCTTTAATGAAGAAAGCTTTTATTTGTATTTGTTTGGAAAAGTACGGTGCTTTCTCATAGGAAGACCGCATTCTTACATTCGATCATGCGTTGTAAGCTGAGATTGACGGAGATGAGGTCATTGTTCTATTAAACGAGGATTATTTGCAGACACGTTCCGAAACGTGTGACATCTCTCCCTGTTGTATTTATATTACGAATATTGGTGTAATTGTTATAACATACAATGTTCTTATCTACAGGGAATTTCAGCCATCGGACCGTACATTTTGAACGCGAAATCGAAGAGTTCCTTTCCCAAGCAACGTGTTCACTTGGATGTGACCGAAGTCTTGCGAAAAAAGGCCGGCATTGGATACTCCGAATTGGAAGAGTTGGAGAGTCGACTTCTGCAACATCCATTGATTTTATTTCCACAATTGCGACAATCGATTCCAAATAAGGTAAAAGTTCTCATGTACTTAACAAACCGCGCCACGTCTGAAACCACGATGACCATTAACAATAACTTTATTCGGGTTAAGAAACACTGCTTTACAAGTCCAGTTGAATGTCCAGTGTGGTTATCGAAAAAAAATGTAAAAAGTTAGTGCTTTAAGTTTCGAAAGTAGTATTATCCTTGGTGATGCTGTTTTCTTAAGCTCCGCGTGGTTTCGTCGCAACAACAACTGACAGTTAATAAATTCAAGGTGAATTCTAGGAGTATAATGGAGAGATGGTGCTAAGTAACATAATGTAAGTGGATGAGTGCGTCATCTAATCTTCTTTAACTATGGCTAGTATCGGCGTAGAAATGACCGATTCAGGGAGAATAATCCACAGATGAAATACACAAAGAGAACAGAAGTTGATGCGGCACTTCAGACTGCTGTACTGAGCCGCTACCTTCATGAAGTGATCTGTCAGATTTGTATTATTGTCAGGTTACACTAAGAAGCGGTACACATGAGGTGGATCGTACAGAATAAGTAGGCCATTATCGTGGGCTCTCGTACACGGCGATAACTTTTGATTAATACTTCAAAAATTTCAGCCTCTGCTCGTGTGTGTAATTGCGCATTCCACTGATGTACTTGGATGCCAGACGTTGAGGCTGCTTCGGTGTATTGAAGTCGTGTTTCAGCTATGGTTTCCAGGCTTGAACTGCGTATTCGACATATAAGCGAAATACAAAGTGAGCGTCTGTCGGAGAATAGCGATGTTTATTAATCCGAACATCCGTCTCAACGAGCCGACGTGTTGGTTACCAGTTTTAATGCTTTTTCGGATTGCCTGGTACAACGCAGGTACTTCTGAACCAACACTCCCAAGTCACATTTGATTTCAGATTGCTGCCGTACTTGCGCTCTGAGCCTGGATGAGTAGGCACTCGGTTGTCCTATGGAACGTACCTTGCATTTACTCACTTTGGGTTGTAATAAATGTTGGTTTGACCACTGATATACCTTGTCTAGGTCGCTCTGAAGCAGCTGATGTTTGGTATACTTCTGATTCCTGCGCCAAACCAAACGTCGGCAAAGAATAAGAAATATGCAGTGGTAGACTGTTCGAGGTCCTTAATTCTCACTAATGATTAGTGGGGATATGGGCATACTTTCAGAGGTAGCTTGTCGCAGTCCCCTCTAAATCATCAGACTTCGACACGTCTGAAAAAGTACCAGAGAGCTGATTCTATCTACTAGGTCTCGTTAGCAATGTGCCTTCCTCGGACCCCTACCAGGTTTTGACCCATTGATTTCCGGATACCAGCGGATTGTACCACTATGCCACGGGTGCCGGCCGAGGATCTGCATGACTAACAGTTGGCTACGATATAGTTCAGCTCGTCCTGAACTGCTATGCCATTTACGAACTGTGTGGAGGACAGAGGTTGGCCCCAGGAGCTAGGGCTTACTGCATAACGGCTGTGTACGACACAGCAGTTACAAGTTATACGGATGGCCTTAATTTAGCTCCGTAGTCCCCAACCCCCGGGCCGCGGACTTGTACCGGTCCTTAATTCAAATGGTACCAAGCCGCCTAAAAAACATTAACGTATTTCCATTGTATTTACCGGATGTTTTTCTCTCGGGATTGGGCGAATTCCCATGGACGAGAGATTAACTAGGAGCTGAGCGGCTGCGAACGGCAGTGGCATTGCAGTTTTGCTCGAGTGAAGATGTGTATCGCTCCTTTTTCTGTTTACCGGTACTTTCTGATATTTAACAGTGCCTGGTGTACGTCTATATTTTGTTTTTGTCATCTTTTCGTCCACATTTTCTATCTGAGGTTAATGATATTTTATTTTCCAGGTTACGTCTCGGTAACTTTAGTGTCCAAAGTTAACCTACAGATAAAGCAAAAAATGAGATCATTGCCTGATGATGGTGATCAGGACAGGGGCTTCCTACACACCAACCCCGCTCTGCATAATTTGCGGCGACCGACTCTCCAAGGAGGCAATGAATTCTTCAAAACTGCTTCATCACTTGAACGTTAAGCACCTTGGATTAAAATGCAAGCCACGAAATTAGTTTGAAAGAAAAATCGGAACATGAAGGACAGAATAAAGTTCTGGGGGCCACTATATCAATAAAGAATGCACTGAAATCGTTATATTTAATGGTTGACCGTACTGCTAATAATAATAATAATGTGCTAACTGTACGCCGTAACAACTCTTCGCTGCTGTGCGACCAACAACAGTCGCGTGCGGGCTGAGTATATCGCGAGGATGCCCACACCTACGCGGATTCGAACCCGCGATGCAAGATTACGGGACAAGTTCGTTAACACTAGGCTTGGAACCGACGTTCCCTCTAGGAGAAAGAAAGCCATTCACTATCGGTGTAGAATTGATCTTGCCCTCTACTTAAGACGTTTGCCATGAACTTCTAGGAAAGGCTGCTTTTAAAAAGATAACACACGTGCCGTTTTCGGATAACATTGTGACTAAGCCAATTGAGGAAATAACCGAAGACATTGAAACATAATTGTTGGTGTGGACTAATACATCACTGTGGTACGCACACCAGGTTGACGAATCTACAAATGTCGATAACAAAGCACTACTACTTGTTTATGTGCGATATCTTTATCAGGAAGATGTGTATGAGGATTTGTTGTGTACACAGTTTTGCTAACCAACACCACAGGAAAGGAACCGTTCAACGCACTTGATGGTTATTTATCGGAACAACTAAAATAGTCCTTTTGCGTCAGCATATGCACAAACGGGGCTGCTGCCATTAACAGACGACTGTCTGGTTTAAGTGTTTGGTTGAAGCTGAATCTATGCATTTACAGGGAAATGCTAGCAGACCGAAAAATGCTACCGGAATTTAGTAGTGTATTGATTGATTTCTTTGAAATTATTAACCACATCAAAACATGCACCCTTAACTTGCGCCTGTTTGAGCAGCTTTGTAAGGAGATGGACGCAGAGAACAGATGTCTTCTCTTGGACACAGTAATAAAATTGTTCTCCAGAGGAAAATCGATAACCAGAGTATTTGAATTAGAAAAGTAATTATAAAAGCTTCTTTCAGAAAAGAAGTTATCACTGACAGCAAATTTCAGTGACAAGTTATGAGTCACAAAACCGGCTTACCTATGTGACATTTTCAGCCCGCTGAACAAACTTACTCTATTCCTTCAGGGGAAAATAACAACTGTTTTCAAGTAGGTAAACAAAGTAGCCGCATTTAAAGCCAAATTGGAGTTGTGGGGACGACGCGTGAACAGAGATATTTTTGAGAAGTTTCAAGCATTAGCAGGGATTTTAGGCGAGACTGACCCGGATAATTCATTTTCCCAGTTGGTTCACGATTACCTGTCTGTGCTTTTAAACGAGCTCGAGCGCCAGTGTAGTTGTGCTCAATGATTCTGAGAACAAGTACTCTTCTTTGAAGCGGTTGCCTTTTATGTACCGAACATTGACCAGTAGCTGGGAACAGGATGCAACGTCGGTTGACTCAGGTAACTGTATTGCGAAGAAAGGGCGTCACTATATTTCTTTGAGCATCTCATATCCTCGATAAGACTTTTGGTTGTGTTGTTAGAAAGTGATATCATGCTTATCTTTTCTGCATGTTACTATCCAAGAACGAGCTTCATGGCATCCATTATGCAAGGTTTTATGAGATCCTCTCCTATAGTATGCGGTTGCTTGTTTTTGACGATTCGGAGAACGATGCGGTACGACCTTTCAAGAGCAGCTTCAGTTGACTGAAAAAGGAGCCCGATGTATCCAGGCGCGAACTTTTGAGCGCACCTTCTTTCTGTTTGAAGACAGTAATATCTTTTCCTACAAAATGAGAATGACTTCGGTCGAAGTGGTCTTTCAATTTGCTGGGTTTCATGCTCTTCCCCGTGAGCATTTTGCTGCACAAAACACATTGCGGCTTCTCAACAATTTTATCGACAAAACTGGTGATGCCCCAATGCTGAAAAGCTTCCTTGTAGGACAGCTATTTTCCAGAAGACATGGTCCCTGCAAAAAATTAGGCAACTAAATGATATGTATAAATATGAATATTTTCGTGATTTAATGTAGGTGACATTATCGCAAACTTTGGCAGATAAACTCATTATTAACCATATCAAAACCATTGAATTAAATCACTCGTCTGCTATGGTTTCTTGTCAAAAACAACTGTAGATGAATGTGATCAACCCAACACCCAATGGTCACTGATGTCCAATCCGCTGATTCTGCCTTTTTGTGACACAAAACACGGTGTTCTGCGCACTTTCAAACACCTGCTGTTATCTCCATTCAAGGCATCATATGACCCTTTCGTGTGTGATACGTGATCACCTATGAACAGATATTAGTGCCTTCTCACGTGTTGCATTCCTCCATTCCAAGTCATTACTGCATGATAACTTGACACCACCATTTTGTATAGATACGTGGTGAACACTAATCGTCCGTTTTGACCCTTCTAAGCTGGAAACAATCGCGCTTCACCTTGCCTGGTCGTCTGACCAAGGCTCAACTACTATGCAAATACTATTGCAATGGACTCCATAATTCAACCCGGCGAACGACTGCCTGACGATAGCCACGGGAGCCGATAGAGGCGTCATCTGGTTGCAGTGACCAATGACTGGTCACTGGTGGCTAATCCAAATTGCATACGTAGTTAGCAACATGTTTTGATACGGATAATTTTGTTATTAAACTTCTTTAGCGACCGATTGATGACGCAATCCTCGTACTAATATTTACCCCCGCAAAATGCCACTTTACTCCTTGGAGGTAATTACCCCCAGGTTGGGAACCCTTTAGAGTCTAAAGCACTTGTAATCAATCTATTAAATATTTCGTAAAATCGAGCCAGTCGACTTTCGGCGAGGAAAAACCAGGTTATTGCACTGACAAGCTGGGCCAAGCAGTCGTGACGTGTGGTGGTTCTTACTTTGATATTTTACATGACAGATAATGCTGTAACTAATGACT